ATCCTACTTCTGTTCCTCCTCCTTCTCACATCCTCATCTCCTCGTCCTCATCTACTCCTCCTCCTCGTCCTCCTCCTCCTTCTGCTCCTCCTCGTCCTTCTCCTCCTGCTCATCCCGCATGGCTTCCTCCTGCTCCCTCATCATCATCATCATCATCATCATCATCATCATCATCATCAACAGCAGCATCAGCAGCATCATCCTCATCCTCATCCTCATCCTCATCCTCATCCTCGTCCTCCTCCTCTTCCTCCTCCTCCTCCTCCTCCTCCTCCTCCCCCTCCTCCTCCTCCTCCTCCTCCTCCTCCTCCTCCTCCTCCTCCTCCTCCTCCTCCTCCTCCTCCTCCTCTATGTTCCCCTCCTCCGCCACGTTCTCCTCGTCATCCTCCTCCTCTTCCTTCTCCCCCTCCTCATCCCCATATCCGCATCTCCCTATCATCCTCCTCATCTTCATCATCGTCATCAGCATCATCAGCAGCATCCTCCTCACTTCATCATCATCTCCTCCTCATCATCCTCCTCATTCTCCCTCTTCTCTGCCTCATCATCCGCCTTCTCCTCGTCCTTCTCCTCCCCCTCTTCCTCCTCCTCCTCCCATTCCGTCTCCTCCTTATCGTCCTTTCTTTCTTCCTGCTCCTCCTCCTCCTCCTCCTCCTCATCATCATAATCATCATCATCTTCTTCCTCCCCCACATCCTCCTTCTCGTCCTCCAACCCCTCCTCATCCTCATCCTCCTCCTTCTCCTCCTCTTCCATATCCTCCTTATCCTCCGCCGCATCCCCTTCCTCCTCCTCGTCCTCGCATCCGCCGCCTCCTCCTCATCATCCTCGTCCTCAATCCTCCTCCTCCCCCCTCCTCCTCCTACTCATCATCCTTCTCATCATCAGCATAATCCGCATATCCTCATCTCCTCCGCCTCCGTCGCATCCTCCTCCTACTCCTCCTCCTCCTCCTCCTCCTCCTCCTCCTTCTCGTCCTCGTCCTCGTCCTTGTCCTCATTCTCCGTATGATCATCCTCTTCGTCAGTCTCTTCTTCCTCCTCATCCTCCTCCTCCTCCTCCTCCTCCTGCTCCTGCTCCTGCTCCTGCTCCTCGACCTCCTCCTACTCCTCCTCCTCCTCCTCCTCTCCTCCTCTTATCCTCCTCCTCCTCCTCCTCCTCCTCCTCCTCCTCCTCCCCTCCCCTCCTCCTCCTCCTCCTCCTCCTCCTCCTCCTCCTCCTCCTCCTCTCCTCCTCCTCCTCCTCCTCCTCCTCCTCCTCCCCGTCCTCCTCATCCTCCTCCTCCTCCTCCCCTTTCCTCCTCCACCTCCTCTTCCTCCACCTCATCCTCCTCTCATCATCCTCTTCCTCATCATCCTCCTCATCCACCTCCTCCGCATCCTCCTCCATCTCTTCGCCCAACCCCTCCTCCCACCTCCTCCTCCCCATCATCCTGGGCCTGGTCCTGGTACTCGTCCTCCTCCTACTCCTCCTCCTCCTCTCCTCGCCGGCAGCGCTCCGGGGGACTCGGCCAACAGCGCCAGGGTCCGAAAGGATTACATTACCCGCTTGCCCTTAACGGCCCAGTCGCCGACGAGTTCGAGATCAGGACCCACCGCCCGATTCCCAAGCTCGCCAAGCCCCTGGAGATCCTGAGCAAGCGCTCCCTTGGACTCTCGAATAAACCCTCGAGGTGGCATCGGGCCGCAGCTGTAGCGGGTCACCCCCCGGGAGGTCCCACCTAGAACCTCCTTTAGACCCAGAACAGCCAGGTCCCAGGCGCCGCCTTCGACATCCCGGCGCAGGGCTTGGAGTTCATACACTCGCGCGGCAAGCAGGTTTCCCTCTGAGATCGAAGGGGCCCAAGTGCCAGCCTCAGCGGGCGGCGCGGGTTTCAGTCACAGCAGAGGACGCGGGGCGAATTGGCAGCCGCGCGCTCGACCTCCACGCTGGTTCAAGAGTAAGGTCCTCGATGCACAGCGCGCTACGCACGCCATGCCAGTCTTACCCCGGCAGCGCGAGACGCCCAGGCAATTCTCGCGGGCGCGCCCGACAAGTTTCACTCTGCTCAAGAGACGCCGGCCACCCTCATCAAGTTTCGACAGTTCTTAGAAGCCCTCGTGGAGCACATCCAGCGGGGCGGGGCCCAGCTGACCAGGTAGACAGCGGCCGCGGCACCCGAACGTCTCCAGGGCGAGGTCGCGAAACAGCACGATCAGGCAGATGGTCGGGGAAACCTCCAGTCAAACGCCCCATTGAAACAATGGGCGCCCGAGCAGGCGACGAGACGGGCGGGCCGGAGGGCGGGCCAAAGACTGCAGCGCTACTTGCCACCCCCAGGAGGCTACGACAAGGGGCAGCCACCGGCCAGGCAGGCCAACCTAAGAGGAGTCGGCTTGCAGGGGGAAGCGGGCGCGGCGGCGGCGCCAACGACCGCGAGGAGCCCGGTTGGCCGCCGGCCCGACCCCCCACGAAAGAATCGGAAAGGCCATCCGACTTTTGGGAGATCAGTCGGGCAGCCCCCAGCCCGGCGCCACCCTGGCCAGAGGAAGCCAGGAGGCCCCCCGAGGTCACGCCCCAGATCTTCAGGAAAGCCATCAGGTTCTTCAGCCACCAGCCCGCTCAGACGCGGGGCGGCACGCACCCCGCGCGCTTCGAACTGCGCAGCTCCAGCTTTTCGCCGACCTCCTCACGCGCATCGGGCACATGGGAACCGCGCCCTCCCAAAGTCTAGCCATCACCAAACTCACCCCGAAGACGAGGCCATTGGCGGCCCAGCCAGTCGCGACATCGGACCCCTCCTAGGGACCTATCGGGCCCGGACAACGGCAGACAGGCAAACGACAGACAGTGGGATCGCATCAACAAGTGCAGTTTCGCTGCCCATAAGGCCCGCCGCAGCACGCTCGAGCCCGCGCTTCAGCAGCACCTCCTCGCCGAGCAGTGATGCCTAGAAGAAGCGCTTGCGCGCGCGGGATCCATCTTCCGGGGCCTCTCTCACCATTGCGAGCACGCACGTCGGCAGGGCCAACATCCTCTCCTGGGCCGCGCAAGGCGGGCTGAACGGGGCCATCCCAGCCATCATCCTATACCAGCACCAGTCCAGCAGACTTCTCACCTACAGTCAATTGGTTAAACTCTGCGGCTACCCCACCTGCGGCATCTCCGAAGGATGCGGCTGTGTCACCGACCTTTTGCGCATGCATTGTAAGAAACCCCCAACCCACCGGCCAGCTGCCCACCCTCAGATCTCCAGCAGCATTTTCATTGATGGCACGTAGCTGCAGCGTTGCAACCAGGTGCAAGCAGCAGGTGGTCTTCTGGCTGCTGAACGCCTGCCCACAGCAGTCGGGAGCCATCCAAGGCGAGCTTCAGCGGCAGGTCGCCGACAAGAAGTCTTCTGCGTTCGCATCTTCCAGAGACATCCAGGAACAGTTCGAGACGGGGCCAGGCAAGCACGCAGCCCCAAACAAGCAGACACAGATCGCATCGGCACCGAGCGGTCGACTCCTCGCGCTCGGCGCGGTCGACCCCAGAAGAGGACCCGCGCGCCTCGCCGCCATCGAGAGGGCCCAAGGGGACACGCAGCAGATGCACGGCGCAGGCAACAGCCAGGCCCGCGGAGCTTCGGAAATCCCAGACCCCCCACCTTCGGATTGCCGGCCCAGGAGCGGCCATTCGTTCCAGGAATATGTCTCTCTGCGTTCTAGGTGACCTACGCTGGCGACCAGGAGCTGGGCCAGCGCCACCTTGGAGCCAACAAGCATGGGGAGCGGCTTTGGAGTACCGCAGCTTCGACAGATGGCCGCAACTGCGCTGGGCCGACCGCCGACGGCGCGGAGCACTTGCCAAGGGCCCTTCGGAGCCGCCACCCTCAGCCTCCGAAGGGCCAGATTTTCCCTCGTCTCTCCCTTCCAGGTTCGGGGCGGCAGAAACGACATCGCCCTTACCTGCGCCAGCTTCGCCCTGACCCAGGACGAGTTGCAACACCTCCTGGACGAAAGAACACCTGGGGAAAATCGCCGACAAGATGGGCCTCAGCTGCGCTTCTCTCAACGATGGCATCGCCCAGGCATCATCAAACCTCCCGCCCTCCCAAGGACCGCAAGGACCACCCTCCTCCCCTTCCTGCGCAGCGCTCTCTGGACTCGCGGCAGGTTAAAGACGGCAGGTTGCGATGACGCGACAGGAATGCGAGCGCGGAGCCCACGGCAACAACTTCCCCCCGCATAGATTTCCGAGCTGCCCCGAGACAGCCAACCCTAGAACCGAGACCTTCACGGCTGACGAGGCAGACGCTCTGCCAAGGGAAAGTTGCTCCCCTTGGACGGCTAGTTTGCAGTGCGAACCTGATTTCGATGCCCGAGCTCTTGAGAGGCTCGGCCTGGAACCGCCAATTTCTGGCCCCTGGACCCCGAAACGGCCCCCCTCCCCCCGCGCCCTTAAAAATCGGCATTGATGGCCCAGGAGTCGTCGACCTGCGCGCCACGGGCCTCTCCCGCAAGAACAGCAGCGCGGGCGCGAAGGCCTTCGCGCCCCAGCTGCCATAGGCTGGCGGCCCGACCTGCTTCGCACCAAAGCAAAAGGGCCCGCCAGGGCCCCGAGAGGTTCCCCTGGGGAAGCCCAGAGACGTGGGCGCAGCAAACGGGGGCACGCGGAACGCCGGTTTCCACGTTTGGTTATGCCCCCGTTTAGGGGGCCTTGGGCACCGTAGACGGGGGTGCAGTAAACGGGCGTATATTGAAAAGCCTAAGCCCCCGTTTACGAAGCGCCGAAAGCCGCCATGGGAAGCCAGGGGGCGGACCGACTTGCTGGGATGGCCCTCCAAGGCCTTCAACCGACCTTCTGGCGCGGAGGGCGACGGCGTGAATTCTGCATGTAGGGCGTCCAGTGCATATCTCAAGCCCGCTGCTCGCGCGCTGCAAGAATGGCTGCCGACCGGGCCCAGTGTCACCAAGGAGACTTACGCCACACCGACGCAGTCTCTTTCGCCCCCGATAAGGGCGATTTCTGTGCAACAGATTTGGATTCCTTCCTCGTCGATTCCTCCTCCTCCGCCTCCCCGAGTGGCCCCCTGCCCGCCGACACGGGGGCACAGGTAGGACCCAGGTGCGAAGTTTATCTGCAGGTGCTGCTGATAGAGAGAGCAGCGACCCAGCGGCCATATAGTTGTGCTGGGTCTGCCCCTCGCGCGAAATCAATGGCATTTTCTTCCCAAGGCCACCTGGTTGATTTCAGAGTTCTTGTAAGGCTCATCGTAGCTCACTGATTGCGGCAAGTGCGGCCGTTTTGCTGAGTCGAATCCGAGGCAGCGCACCAAAGAATGTCCATGGACCCTCCTCATTTGCAAGAGGTGCCCCAAACGCGGCCGTTGGCCTCCCGTTCTGCACGAACGCCCGAAAGCCATCCCCACGTACCGGCGCTTGAAGCAGCAGACGGGCTCGCGGAGGCAGGCGCCACCCCACCACCAGCTCCGAAGAGGGCAGGGCAGGGCGGGGCCAGAATCCACTGAAGGACCCCTCTCCCCAACCATGCGACGTTCCTCCTCCTCCTCCTCCTCTTTCTCCTTCTCTTTTTTTTTACCTAACAGCGAAGACTGATAGGTTTCTAGTGGGGTCAAAAGAGAGCATCCTGAATCCCCAGGGGGGTCTGGGCAGGGGGATGCCGGGGAAAACCGGGGACTCCCCAGAACATTATCCCAGGCCACATTTTGACTGCCCGGAGCCAACAGAACACCATTCCCAGACCACATTTTGAATGCCCAGAGCCAACTGCAGGGCACTTCGTGTTCTTCGTGTTCCCAGAACACAATTCCCAGGCCACGTTTTGAATGCCCGGAGCCAACTGTAGGCCACATCGTGTTCTTCGTGTTCCCAGAACACCATTCCCAGGCCACATTTTGAATGCCCAGAGCCAACTGTAGGCCACTTCGTGTTCTTCGTGTTCCCACAACACCATTCCCAGGCCACATTTTGAAAGCCCAGAGCCAACTGTAGGCCACTTCGTGTTCGTCGTGTTCCCAGAACAGTTTTCTTGTACCATATTTTGATTGCCCAGAGCCAACTGTGGGCCACTTCGTAATCTTCGTGTTCCAAGAACACCAGTCTTGTGCCATATTTTGAGTGCCCGAGCTGAGGCAGGCTGAGGCCGAGGCAGGCTGAGGCCGAGGCAGGCTGAGGCTGAGGCTGAGGCACGCCGAGGCAGGCTGAGGCTGAGGCTGAGACAGGCTCAGGCTGAGGCAGGCTGAGGCTGAGGCTGACGCAGGCTGAGGCCGAGGCAGGCTGAGGCTGAGGCTAAGGCAGGCTGAGGCTGAGGCAGGCTGAGACTGAGGCTGAGGCAGGCTGAGGCAGGCTGAGGCTGAGAGGCTGAAGCTGAGGCAGGCTGAGGCTGAGGCTGAGGCCGAGGCAGGCTGAGGCTGAGACTGATGCAAGCCGAGGCAGGCTGAGGCTGAAGCTGAGGCAGGCTGAGGCTGAGGCTGATGCTGAGGCAGGCTGTGGCTGGGACAGGCTGAGGCTGAGGCTGAGGCAGGCTGAGGCTGAGGCAGGCTGAGGCTGAGGCTGAGGCTGAGGCTGAGGCAGGCTGAGACTCAGGCTGAGGCCGAGGCAGACTGAGGCTGAGGCCGAGGCAGGCTGAGGCTGAGGCTGATGCTGAGGCAGGCTGTGGCTGGGACAGGCTGAGGCTGAGGCTGAGGCAGGCTGAGGCTGAGGCAGGCTGAGGCTGAGGCCGAGGCAGGGTCAGGCCGAGACAGGCTGAGACTGAGGCTGAGGCTGAGGATGAGGCCGAAGCAGGCCGAAGCTGAGACAAGGTGAGGCTGAATGGGGGGGGAAGGGGGGAGGGGGGGCGGGAGGAGGGGAGGCTGAGGCTGAGGATGAGGCCGAGGCAGGCTGAGGCCGAGGCAGGCTGAGGCTGAGGTTGAGGCAAGCCGAGGCAGGCTGAGGCTGAGGCTGAGGCTGAAGCTGGGGCAGGCTGAAGCTGAGGCTGACGCAGGCTGAGGCTGAGGCAGGCTGAGGCTGAGGCTGAGGCAGGCTGAGGCTGAGGCCGAGGCAGGCTGAGGCTGAGGCCGAGGCAAACCGAGGCAGGCTGAGGCTGAGGCTGAAACTGAGGCAGGCTGAGGCATCCGTAGGAATCCCTAGGAATCCATAGGAATCCTTAGGAATCCGTAGGCATCCTTTGGAATCCGTAGGCATAGTTAAGCATCCTCAGGAATCCTTAGGAATCCTTAGGATTCCTCAGGAATCCATAGGAATCCCTAGGAATCCCTAGGAATCAGGATTCCTAAGGTTTCCTAAGGCTTCCTATGGATTCCTAAGGATGCCTAAGGATGCCTTAGGAATCCCTAGGAATCCTTAGGATTCCATTGGATCCTCAGGCCGTTGCCACTGCGACTGTCATTGCGAATGCGACTGCGACTGCGAGAACAGCAGAATTCTACAACTGGATTCTCACCTGAATCTTAAGGGGAATGCTTCCAGATATGCTTATACACATCGCTGTTAGGTTGCTTTGCCGGGATAATCCTCCTCCTCCTCCTCCTCCTGCTCCTCTTCCTCCTCCTGTCTCACGATTTCAGAGAAATCTTGCCAGCCGTCCAGCTCATTCGTCCAGAGCGCACGCGGCACCCCGCGCCACGCCCGATGTTGAGCATTCCGTGTGACAGGGACGTTGCCGTGCGATCAGCTATTTGGATCATCTCGCCAGACTTGCCCTAGGACCTCCCTCTCTGCTCACTCCCCCTCATCATCATCCTGTTCCTCCCCGCGGCATGGCATTGAAGGTGTCGATCATCTACTCAGCACCGTGGGCGGGAAATTTGCTTCTCTTCAGCGTCATGCCGTTCATGTTCCACCTCTCCGCCCTAGCTTTCGCAAGCTGGTCACCAGGCGTAGGTAGTACTGGAGATCTTCGGTACACGCCGCCTGGAGGATTGGCCCCATGCCGAAATTCGATTCATTGGCCGACGGTATGCGTGTCCTCGATGCAGACTGAATTGCATAAGCAGAAATGCTGGGAAGTTTGCGCAGATTTCTCGGATCGGCGATGGACCCCCCTTCCCTGGCGCGCCAGAGAAGCCCAGCGCCGACCCAAGAGATCCGCGCGGATACCCGACACTTTAAGTGTATGCCATTGTTTCTTTTTCGCTGGCTGGGTCCAAAGGCGAATCGTGGGCAGCGTGTGTTCGAATCATGGCCACGCCCCTGCAAGCGGGCGCTGCGCTTCCTCACCTGTCACACAATTTTTTGAGCGGAGCTCTCCAGAAGGCCCCCGGATGTGCCCGAGAGGTTTGCAGAGCCTTGTGCAAGCCTCGATCTCCGGAGGCCCGGCTTGGCCTGCGCTGCGCCTTCTGACGCCCTGAGCCGCTGGGACGCTCGTGGCGTGAGGGCAGGCTGGGAGGCGACTGAGACAGCCATTCGGGCTGCTGTCGATTGAAAATCCGCAGAGGGCCAAGCGTACACCACCACGCATGCTTGGCCGGGCCATCCTCAGCTTCGGGGGCGTTGCATGGTAGCCCCCCGTTGCCTCGACCGGGTGGGGGGGGGGCGTGTTACACCATACCAGGGCCCAGTGTGGCCTTGGCCTGGCGTGGTGGTGGTGTATGGGATCGGACAGGAGAGAACAAAGTTTACATCGATGTCCGAGGTCAGCGCGGATTTCTTGGGTCGGCTCTGGGACCACCCTGGTGGCGTCTCCTGCGCCGGAGACGCGCCAAGGAGGCGGGCGATCCACTAAATCCGCGCGAACCTCCCAAAGATTATGGTTGTGCCCTGTCTGATGTTTCTGTTACCCTTCCTTCCTTCTCCTCCCCCGCGCTCCTGCTTCCCCAAAGAGCCTTGCAGGTGTGGATCGCTTGATCCGCAGGCCGAGACCCCTCCTCCTCCTCCTCCTCCTCCTCCTCCTGCTCCTCCTCCTCCTCCACTTCCTCAGCATCAGCAGCATCAGCATCAACATAATCCAGACGATTTTCGAGCTTGAGTTCCAGGTCGCCTCAGTTGCAGTGGATCATCATCACCACCACCATCATCATTATCATCATCATCTTCATCATCAGCATCAGCATCAGCATTATCATCATCATCAGCATCATCAGCATCACCCTCCTCCTCCACCTGCCAGTGGCGGGCACAGCAGGGTTCGGGGCTCGACAATCGTTCGAACCCGCGCGCCCTCCTGGCATTTCCCGCCCCGCCCCGCGTCTCCGGCGCGACTCGGGAATGCGGCCACAGCCCGACGTCGTTGCGGACCTTTGGCGCCTCGGACATCCTGACAGCGCGGTGCCTCTAATCCAGGATGTGGTCGAAGATCGACCCATGTGTGTTGGCCCGACGAGTACCTCCCAGGGACGAAAGTTTTTTCCTCTTGGGCCCGGAACGACGGTGTGAAGTCTTGAGCAGACCTGTATGAGATAACCGCCGTCGGATCCCATGAAGTTTGCGCGGATCCAAATGTGGCTTTGGTATTTGTTTCGGTGGATCCGATTTCCGTCCGTACGGATCCGATTTCGGATTAGCTGGATCCGTGTCCGGTTTTATTTTTACGGCGGATCCGATTACTACCTTGTTTTAAGTTTATATTACTAAAGTAAAACAGGGGACCCGAAGAAATCGGATCCGCGGACCCCGCAAACCGCCCGTGTTTAGATTCTATGGGGGAGGGGGGTTCGGTAATCAACTTTCCACGATGGGCCCTGCGTCGTCTCGCGCACTCCCATCAACTCCCCGCGCGAGCGGGCCCCATTCAACATGAATACATACATCCCTCTCCCCCCGGCTGCTGCAAAGAACTCGTCCGGTCGCCATCCGTTCGGCGGCGCCGACGTTGTCTCGCGAACTCCTCATGGCAATTTTTCACCTCAAAAGGAAAATGTTTCGTCCTGCGTAAGTAGGACATGGCGGGGCCACGCACGTATCCACCGCGAGGCGTACACAGTTTTGGTCCTGGACCACGTCGTGATGCATCTGGAAGTCGCCCACGACGATTTTGTCCGAGCCCGTAAGGTTGACCGTATTCAGGGACTCGACGATCCCCCAGAGCGACACGAGCACTTGAGCTCCCGCACAGCCCCCACGGATCTGGCATGCCGCCATTCGGCCCGACCCCACGGGGCACGCGGGAAAGTGCCAACACCGCTACTCTGCTTGAGCGGCGACACGTTCCGCCCCAAGGCAGGGCAGCGCGTCAGATTCCCTTTCGCGCCCAAGTCCAGGGCGAGACCTGCACATCCCCCAGCGCCTCCTCCATCGCGCGGTGCCCCCAGACAGCGGCCATCGAATGCGGCACACAGCTGGCGAGGTACTCCGTCAACGCCCCGTGCGGGCTGGGGCTGACGGTCGTGATATGGAGATTTCCGTCATGGGGCGTGGCTCGAGCCGCAGCCGTGGGTGGCGAAACCAGCCGATGTTGCGGCCGTCCGGGCTTTTGCGGCGCTAAGCAGTTCCAGCGACGCTTCCGCGCATCACTTCGTAGCCGCCCCGGCTACGTCGGCATCCTCGCCGTCGTCCAAAGGGACTCCCATCTTGGCAGGACACCTCCTCCTCCTCCTCCTCCTCCTCCTCCTCCTCCTCCTCCTCCTCCTCCTCCTCTTCCTCCTCCTCCTCCGTAGCCATTTTGGCTCACGCCCTTTCCCCCTTCTGGGGCCAGGGGGGGTGGGTTCGCGCACTTTGAAAGGGGCGCAGCGGGCCCGAGCCGCGATGGTGGTTTCAGCATGAGGCTCGAGGTCAGAGCGTCGAAGGAAGCTGTCGACGCGGAGCTCAGGCAGCGTGCCAACAGCTGCGTCGAAGGCCTCGACCTCGCTTTCGATTCGGTCGCCCTGGACCTCAAGGTCCACGGCGGCAATGGCTCCAGCTCCGCCCAGAGCGTCGCCAGGCACGCCTCCCAGAAGGACTCGTTTTCCAGGAGGGACGTGGGTGACGACTGGAGCTACTGCGAAGAGCTGCCCGCTGGAGAGGAACCGGACCTTCCAGCACGGGCTCACGCAGGTGTTCGAGGATGCCCCCTGGGCTGGCGGGGCACGGAGTTGCCGCCGGCGGACTGGCGGGGGGCGAGGCCACCCGGCCCGCCACCGTCCGCGGAGATGCAGGTGCGCAACGACAGGAGGCGGAGCTCAATGCAGAGATCCTCGCCTTGATGCGCGCAGGGGTGCCTGCGAAGGAGACGGGCCCGTTGACTTCCGGCTTCGAGGAGGCGCAGCAGGCGATCGCAGCGAACAAGGCCAAGAACAAGGACGAGAAGCGGGTCAAGGACAGGCGCAAGAGGGCCGGGGATGCCTTGAGCTCAAGGGCGACGTCTTGCTCCCGCGCAAAGAAGAAGGTAAAGAAGTCCAAGCAGGACAAGAAGGCCAAGAACGAGGGCAAGGGCAAGAGCTCTCGCAGGTCGCCGTCGGAGTCGGCGGAGAAGCGCTCCCAGTCGGACAAACTGGGCGTGCCCATCGCCCGTGTCCAGATGTGGAGGTGCGAGACGTGCAGGTACGTGAACTTCGGTTCCAGGGAGACTCGCTGGAGGTGTAGTGCCCCGCCCCCACCCGAGGTCAAGAGGCCCCAGGTCCTGCGCACCGCGGAGCTGAAGGTGGACTCGGAGGAGGACGAGGAGGAGGAGCCAGCGGCGGCGCCACGGAAGAGGCCGCGGGCGAGGGTTGTCAGGCAGCGGCGACCGGCGATGGCACCCAGCAGCACATCATTGGCATGCGGCAGGGGTCCCAGGTGGTCAAGATATTTGACTTCCTCGGCGACGCCACGCCTGGCGCCGGCAGCATCGACAAGAGCGGCATCATCAGCACCGAGGGCATCGGCCAGCACGAGGAGCAGGTCAAGGACCACAACTTCACACAGGGCATAGCTCGGATGCAGAGTTGGCGCTGGGCTGCGACGTCGGCGTGGCTCAGGACAGCAACGGCAAGGACGTGGAGATTGGCATCGCGGAAAAGAAGCTCGAAGCTCGCGACCTCGTCGCCGGCGCGAACGAGCCCGGCATCGTCAAGGAAGTGTCGCTCAGCAGCGAGGGTTTGAAGCACGCGGCGATGGGCTTCGGCGCTAGCGACGCGATGGACGGCATCGGTTTCCCCGAGGATGCTTTGCAGAAGACCCGAGGCCGAATCCCCGGGGAGGTGCAATCGGAATGGCAAAGAGCGTCTTCTCGGCACTACGCGGCGAGCTGGAGGTCGGCCCCGCCGCGCCGGCGAAGGAGCGCCCGCGCCGGGCCACCGAAGCCGCCGGCAAGAAGGCGAAGAAGGGGCGCGTGAAGCTCCACATTGGCGACGAGGACACCGAGTCCGGCACGCAGAGCGTTCTGGTTCGTGGCGCGGCGGCGCGGCCCAGAGCATCGAGCGCCCCTGCGCCGAATGCACGACCCTCGGCGTGGACCCCGCGGCGGCGCTGGAGGGCGCGACGGGCGTCGGCGACGAGGACAAGCAGCTGCAGTTTGGCTGCGAGGCCCAGTCTGGGCGGCTACAGGAGGAGGCCCGCGGAGTCGGCGCGGCGCACTCTTCCGAAATCTCCGACATGCAGGAGGCCGTCAAGACGTTGAAGGACCTGCTCTCCAGGCTGGAGGGCTGAGCTTCGTCGCCCTCGAGGCTCTGAGTTGCTGCTCGCCTCGCTGTGGGCGGCTGCGAGCGGCGGTCGGCGTCGCCTCGGCTGGATCCGCCCCTTTCGTTTTTGGTTCTGGGCCCTGGCGTTCGCTCGTCGGCACGCCGGGTGCCCCTCGTAATCCTGGCAGGGCATCGCGCCCAGCGCTCGCTCACCGTCGGCGCGGGCGTCGGCCTGCGCGCCGGGGCTGCCGAGACCAGACGGCGGCCGCCTGCCTCATCAGGGCCCTCAGGACCTCCTCCTCCTGCTCCTGCTCTTGCTCCTCTTCCCCCCTCCGTCTCCTCCCTCCTCCTCATCCCCCTCTTCCTCCTCATCCTCCCCCTCCCCCCCCCTCCTCCCCCTGGCCGCGTCTTCGAGTCTGACCGCCGACTCGAGCTCGCCCGAAGCGGCGCCCCCCAGCGCGGGGCCAGCGGCCCCCGCGGCCCCGCCAGGGCCCGCTGCTTCCACCAAGTGGGCCCGCGAGGCAGCCGCCTCGAAGCCACGCTCTGCTGCTGCCCGAACTCCTCCCCCCCACCTCCTCCCCCTCGCCCCCCTCCCTCCTCCTCCTCCCCCCCCTCCTCCCCCCTCCTCCCCCTCCCCCTCCTCCTCGTCCTCGTCCTCCTCATCCTCCTCCTCCTCCTCCTCCCCCCCCTCCTCCCCCCTCCTCCTCCTGCCCCTCCTCCTCCTCCTCCGCTCCGCAGCCATTTCGGCCCATGTCTAGTCCGAGCCATGCCCCGCTTGCTTTCGCGACCTGATTCGCCCCAGGTCTCTGCGCGCCCCCTGCCGCCCGCAGACGGGCACTCGTTTCCTCTCGCGCAGCGGCATGGGACACGGCATCGGGAAGGCAATGGGTTGCATCGGTCGCAAGGCTTGCGGCTACAAATGGAAGTGGACCAACACGATGGAGCGTTTCAAGTGCAAGGCCAAGTTCCTGCTGGCCGTCGGAGCACCGCCGCCTTTGTCAGGAGGTCGGGCAGAGAATCAGAGGCATTCTTCGGGATGGTCAAGCCCCGGGCGCGGCCGGGCGAAAAAGGCACCACGGCGGAAGGGCGGCGGCTTTTAAGTCTTGGAACTGGGAGGACAAGGACGAGCACGACGAGGTGGCGAAGCTGCCCGACCCGCTCCCCACCACTTCTCTCGTTGGAGCTCGGCGTCCTACCAGGGTGATGGCGACGAGACGAACCCCGCGATCACGGCTGCCATGGGCACGCTGCGACGCAAGGCTCAAGCAGAACAGTCAGCCAAGACAGCACCGGCGCCCCCCAAGCCACGCACGGGAGCACAGCTGCTCGGCGACGCCAACAAAGCGCCCAAGGACATCGACCACCGCATTGGCAAGCAAAGAAAGAAGCTCGTTGATGCGCAACTCCACCTGGACGACCAAGAGGAGCACATGGCCAAGCTCGAGCAGCAGCGGGTCGAGACGCCGCAGCAGCAGCGGGGGGCACTGACGCAGGCCAACGCGGAGTCGGGCATCGAGGTGGTCAAGCCCGAGGGGGAAGTTGGCAGCGGCGCGCTCACGGTCCAGTTCGAGCTCGACGCGTCGCTCTTCGAGGGCCCCAAGGAGCGCGACGTCACACCCAAAGAAACGCAAAGCATTCTGCAGCGGAAGAAAGGGCTTGAGTAGTTCCAACAGGAGCAGATGGGCACGCCACAGGCAAACTTCAAGCACATCGAGGACATTCACGAGAAAGCTAGATTGGCAATGGCGGCTCCAAAGAAAAAGCGAAAGGTGCAAGGCGAAGAGGACACCAAGCCCAAGAGCGGGGCCACAGAAGTCCCAGCTGCGGCACCAGAGGCGGCGACACCAGCGGCAGCCGTTACTCCAGGTACTAGCAGCAGCGCAGCACCGACGGGCAACCCGCTCAACCAGGACGAGGAGAGGCAGAAAATCCGCGACGCCAGCAAGGCAGCCTTGGACCAGGCCAGGGCTGAGTAGCAGAAGGCAATGACTGATGGGAAGACAGCTACGGGTAGCGGCGCGACTGCAGCTCATGGGCAGACTTGCTTAGTACCGCCGAGAGCACTGAGACCGCCGCGAACACGGAGTCCGATACTGAGCCGCTCACTATCTTGTTCGGCAAGATTACAGAATGGGGACCGCAGATTCAGAATTTGGCGTAAGGACCGAGCAGCAAAGAGCGCGGTTGTCTGGCTTTCGCCGAGACACACAAAGGACCCAGCGATATCTTGGGTATCAAGAGTTTCTTGCAGAAAGAGGGTTGGAAGGCTGCGGCCACCCCTGCGGCCCCGAGCGGCAAATCTCAGCATGGGCTTTCGGCGGGCGAAGTGATTGCAGCACGGACTCATATCCGAGCTACATCTTGAGCACTGGATGGGCAAGTATGACAAGCAGGGCGAAACGGCGTTCGTCCCCCCCCCCCCCCCCCCCCCCCCCCATGGCGCTACACTTTAGCACGGGCAATTTCATCCTCACCGCTGCGTACCTTCAGCCGAAGTTGAAGTTCACTGGGAGGAATAGAAATATCATGGCAGCCCTCACGGCCCTCGTGAGGACGCAGAAGGGTCCCTGGCTTGCACTTGCAGATTGGAACTGTTTATCGACTGAGCTACTCACGCCAGGCTGGATCGACCAGGCGCAGGGTGAGATCGTCACGGGCCCCGAGGAGGTTACCTGCGTAATCTGTCAATATATAGTTATTATATATATCTATATATATAGATGTATGCATGTATGCTTCCGTTTTGAAACCAGCTTGTCCGCCCCCGCGCGCCGTCGAGGCCGTCTATGGACGACCTCTCGATTGGTCCGTTGACCATATCGCTCAAGCTCTTTCTGGACGGCCAGCACATGTAACCTCCCGGCCAGGCGGGCGCGATCAGCGGGCTGGGGCAGGTCTCCAACCTGTCGCGGAGCAACCTTCCCTGGCTATCGTCGCTCGCGGACCAGGCCAAGGATTGCTCGATCGGCGACTGGATTGCGAAGCTGGGTCTTCTCGCGGCGGTGGCCCTCTGGGTCGGTGGTCTAGTGGAGGCCGACGTCGGCGCCATCGAGGGGGGGCGCATTTGGTGTTGCATGAGCCCCGACCTCGACGTGCACCCCTGCGCCCTCGCCCGGCCGATGATCACGGGCCTCGCGGCGTTCGACAGCAGCGGGGGCATGGTGGACGTGCTCGGGGCGAGACGGCGAGTGGGAGAACCGGTCCACCATTCGGACGGGGAGCCCACGCCCTCGGAGGTCGAGGAGGCAATCGAGTTCACGAGCGGCAAGAGCCAGATCAATAATCGTTTGCGTGGGAAACAGAGTCTAGTTTCAGGTGATGCCGTTTGCGCGCTCGTCCAGCGGCGAGAGGAAGAGGGCGTTGAAGGGCGCCGCGGAGAACATCAGGGGCCGACATCATCGAGATGGCGGCCCTCGAGGTGCTGGTCCGCCCCGCGCAGACGGCGAAGCGGAGGTACCGCGACCGCCTGGCGCCGCGGCGGGCCGACGACACGGTGGGGGACGAGCGCCTCCCCGCGGGAACCGGGGAGACGCGCGGGCTGATCATGGCGGGGCCCGCGCTCGAGGAGCGCATATCGAGCGAGCTCCACCGCGAGAGCATCACCATGAAGGGGGAGAGGGAGTTGCGCGAGGAGCCGCAGTTGTCGCGCAGCGGCGGCGGCATAAGCAGCGACACCAAGAGCCTGCAGAAGAAGATCGAGTCCCAGGCCACGGAGCTTCGCCGGCCCCTGGCCCGCCAGGACGCCGGAGGCGGCGAGACTGGCACAGGCGGCGGCCGCGGGGGCGGCCGCGGCGGCAAGTGACATCCAGATGCCAGCGCCCCGGGACCTGTTGCCAGCTCCGGCCCCGGGGCGATCAGGCAGCGAGGGGGGCTCCTCTTGCTGCCGGGCGGTGCGCTCTCGAGCGCGGCGCCAGTCATTCGTCGACTCCTGGACGGACGAGGTCTTCGTTGCCCTGAACTGCCTCTACGGTCGCGGGGACGGGCCCGACTTCGGGCCGCTCAGCAGTGGACAAGTCTTTGGATATCAACAAGTTCGTGCTGCGGTTCAAAGGATCGGCGCTCCCGACATTTCAGGCGCGGCAGCCTACCGAGAGCTGCGCGCATCCGCCCCTGGGTACCTCTCCGAGCCCCAGAGGCCCGCCGCCTTCGACGAGGTCGCGCTGCCGACCCCCGGCCGAAGCGCCAGGGCTCCAGCCCGCTGCGGGGGAGGCTCTCGAGCGACGGGGGGGCTGGCGTGAGCGGCCGTTGCGGCCTCGACCCTTTGGCGAGCCGGCGAAGCCACATTGCGACCAGAAGCCGATGCGCAGCAAGGTGTCCTACGCAAAGTCCGTGGGAGACTTGATCGACACAGATGTGGCGAGCCTTGGCCCGCAGAGCGAGGCTACGCTGGGGCTGTTCTTCGTGCCCAAGTGTAGCGAGGCGCCCCGGCTCATCCTCGACACGCGGCGGGTGAACCAGTTTTTCGAGGAGCCCGCTCACACCTCGCTGCCCCCATCGGGGGCTTGGCGCGGCATGTGCATCCCCCCCGTTGAGGAGTTGAACCTAGCCCAGGTGGACATCGAGGCGTGGTTTTACCGCATGGCCGTCCCGGACGGCCTCTCCGACTTCTTCATCCTTTCGGCGGTGGACCTCCCTGCCGCTGCCCTGAGACGGGCCCGCCCAGACCTCGACCTCCCAGCTGGGGCGGCGGCCTCGCCTCGCCTTGAAGTGTTACCCATGGGGTGGAGCTGGTCGCTATACTTCTGCCGGGAGATCGTGACATCCTGCGTGCTCCTGAGCGGTTTCTCGTCCGACTCGCCGGTCGAGGACCGTCGGGCGGCGCCGAGCCTGCAGAGTGGCACGGCCGCGGCGATCTACGTCGACGGGGTCGCCATCGTGGGCGCCAACGGCGCTGAGTGCATGCGGGACTGCATCAGGGTGAAGGAGGTTCTCGAGCAGCACGTCTTGCTGACCAAGGGGGTTGTCGAGCCGCGCGACGAGCAGACTTTCGCAGGCCTGACCTTCCACCGGGCCAGCGGGCGCGCATCC